TAGTAGCTGGCTTTAGCGACATGTGCACCTGGTTGCAACCATGTCTTCAAACTCCCTGTAGACATAGGAGCCATCTTCTTCAAAGATCATGACACTCAGGGGGCTGTAATGGGAGGGGATGCACGAGGCCCTGGGCACAGAGGAGTCAAGCTTCTCATATATGATGTTTTGCACCATGGTGTGGACGGGTGAACCATAGATGAAGCCCACAGTCCTCGGGCAGATGCCTCTGCAGTACCTGGGGTTGTACTTTGGTGGAAAAACAATCCAGTGATCCAGTTTGAGCTGGCTGAATTGTACCCTGAAATCATACAAGGCGCAGTCACTTGTCGGGAACTCAGAGCTGGGAAGCAGCTCCGGCAGGTTGATATTCAGACTTTTATCACCTCGCTTGCTCTTTGGAGATTGCCTCTTCCATCTCTTCTTTCGTCCAATCTTCTGTTCTGGTTTGAAAACCATGTGCTTGTGAAATGTGTTCGCCGCAGTGGCTGGCCTTTTACCCGCTTTGGCATTGACCAGTAACCTCTGGTGGGTGATTTTGCTGATGTCGTTGAGGTAAAGAAGCAGAGGAGGAGACCTCAAGGTGAACTTCAGCGGGCCTCCACTCCCTTCACCTCTGGCTCTTTGTTCGTCTGGGCAGGTGGCGTTGATGAGCAGGTGTATGTTCTTCCTCTGAAACTTTAAGAGAGGCTGGAGAAACGAGGTGACGTCAACCTCCACCCAGTTCCTCCTGCTCCTCCCGTCTGTGCTGGCTGTGAAGTTCACAGTGTTGTGAACCTCGGGACACAGATGACACTGGTTTGAGTGCTCCTGCTCCTTAATACTCAAGTAGCACACAGAGTTGAAAGGTGCTGCACGGTCATGGTCAACATTGTACAGCAGGGCCGACTTCAGAAGCTGTTCTCTTCTTCTTACATGATCAAGGCTGTAGGAAAGATCCTGCATAAAGCTCTCTGAAAGAGAAAACACAAGGCACTGTGTCACCACTACATGTCAGCCTCACAAAGTCATAAAATATCCATGTACTCATAATTATACTACATTTTAATTAGCCAGGATAAACATCTCCATCTTGTATGATGCATGTCACTGAGGCAGCACAGGTGAAAATGCAGGTTTTGATTAAATCAAATATATATTGTATTTCCCTCCACTAACAACTATTATTATTACCCACTTTGTCAATGTTGCAACCCAGTTTAAAATAGTGTTTCTTTATCGCTACAGTTTTTAAAATATATTTAATATAAAGACTTGGTAAAACTTGGTCATGATACCAGTTATTTAGATGAAATCCGTGCTGATGTTTTAACAAACATACAGATTTACATTTCCATGTGGTAATGAGATATTAGACATCAACGTCATAATATAAATCATGTTATTCAGCCCACTGGGGTGAAAAGAAGGTCATCTTAATACAAGTTTTTTTTGTCTGAGATTGTGCAACATTTAGTCAAATGTGTTAAAAAGGACCAATACACAAGCAGTTTTTAATCTAACCAATATCTGACGCACCAGTGTAATTCGGACCCCACTAAAGCTGATCTTATTGATCCTCTGTGCATTGTGTATGTATCCTGTAGCCTCCAAGTTCAAGAACAGATAAAATCGCAGACTACACATTGATTGCAGCTTCATTATAGCCAAAGCCCCACGAAAAACACCACCTATGCTGAAATAACCATGTCACAAGTTGTGTGTGTGTCAGGTCAAGTTTTTGAAAATTTGACAAAATACAACTTTACTTGCACCATATATGCGCACACTGTAAATTAAAGGTCTTCAAACTAGATTTTGACACAAGACAAAAACAAAGTTTATATTGTTCTTAAATGGTGCAATTCTCCTAACAAATATGTAACTAATTATATTCCCCAAACCATTCAAAGCACAGTGAATCTGGGACGTTTTAAGGCCCCTGTAGCTCTGGGACTCCAGAGCAGTTCATAATCCAGATTTACTTACACACAATGTGACAATCAAAGCTGTAGGGGGACAGCTTTGAAAAAGTGACTTTTTGACCTATTTTATTACTCTTTGCCTCACCATAAACCACAGAACAAAACATCATACACCTTATGTTTTGTGCTACCTGTCTTTGGATGTCACTGTGGTATATTATTATTTTAATATATCACATTGTGTGTGTGGTCGATGTACACTCAACTGGGCAGCTATAGTGTTCGGGTTCACTTACTCACCTTTATTATTTTGTGCAAGACACTCATCCTGTGGCTTGATCAGTCGGACTGTGTTGTAGATTTCATTCCCGTCCAAACTCCTCTGCAATCTGGAAGACTTCTTGTAAACCTCCGCCAGATATTTCATGTACCTGTGCTCGGGTTTCAACCTTTTCTTCAGGCCTGTGTTCCACCTCAACCCTCCGTGCTCTGACAGGGCTTTGAGCAGCGGGGAGAAGATGCTGTCGTAGGGATAAGTGAAGTCGCCCAGGCTGTGCAGCGCATTGGAGGCAGTCATAGAAGATGTAACCAGCGGGCATCTGCAGGTGACCAGCAGCAGTAGGACAGCCGTGCAAAAATAACTAAGGACAGCTGACATCAGCATTAGTTTTTCCATTACAAACAACGAAACCAGTCAAAACGTAGAGAGACTCTCCACTGAGAGCTCGAGGTCAACAGGCACACGCACGTGCCACCGCTGATCAACAGGTGTGGGCAATCAACTCTATCAGGTAAGGTAAGCCTGAAGAGCCCTGTTACCTGAGAACTTACCTCTGCTTCACTTTCTGTCATGATTTCATTAAGAGTTATCACAAACAGCAGGAGGGTCGTTTTAAATGATAGCATGGTTGAGTTGAATTAAACAATGCTGTATGCTGCACCCCTGATTCTCATATGGGAAGAATTTGAGGCACTTTAATGTAAATAATAAAAGCGATTTTCCGGGTATATTCACAATAAGATTAGATAGATGAGGTAAATAAGGTAAGTAAATAAAAACACATTTGCTCCACCCAGTTTACATCATTTGTACAATGGCTTAGATGCACAGATGCAAGATTAATCATTTCATGGCCTTAAAAAATAAAGTCCTTTATGACAACATGTTTTATGCTTTTATTCTGAAGGCAACATCCGGTACTTTTCGAATATCTCAATATAACTTTACAGTATTATTATTGTTATTTTTATTAATTGGAAAATTGTATTTTAGAACAGATTTTACCTACTTTGTTAGCTATTCAGCTTTATTAGCAATTTGGTGTTAAGTTAAGCTAAGTTAGCTAATATTAGCTAACTAACTGTAATGTGTTTTATTTATAAACTGCACTGACATAAAGTATGATTTATGTAGCTATTAATGAGTTACTTAACCCACAGAAGCAATTAGCAATATAATGGCTACTTGCTGCTAATATCAGCTATGTGAAATATGTTATTCTCAAATTAATTTTACAGTGTTAAAAAAATTGTTAATGGGATATTATTTGTCCTAAGGTATTGATTTGCCACCAAATGTGTAAGAATGGCTCACAAGCAGATAACAATAACATTACAGGTCCCAATTTATATATGGTTAACTAATAATATTTATAATACTCAACCATGTTAAAAAATTAGAAATAAGGTAAAAAAAACTATATCATAGGCTTGATGAATAGTGCTGTATCAATTGATCAAATAAGAATATTTAGCTCAATGCAGTACATATCCAACAGAAACAAAGTAACATGGACCAATATTCACTCATGTTTGATCACCAAATCTCATGAAGATCATCTGGGTCTCTTTGGCTTGCCAAATGTTGAGTTCTTTCCACCAGGCATTCCTTAATTGGTTGTGAAAGGGGAGTTTGGGCTCCTCTTAATAAGACATGAGTTCCCCTGAAACATAATTTGTGAAATTTAGGGGGGTCTCTTAAATATTGCCCATATTCCATTATGCCATGCATTTGATTAGCTCTTAACTTTAGGAAGCAGATGTGATTTTCCATAAACATGTTAGTATTGAAATTCCAGATTTTTAAAATGGAGTTTGGTCTGCAGAGGTGCAGAGATTTGAAAGAATAACACTTGATAACTCAGAGAGGCAGATATCAGAAAAAAAACTTCCCACTTCCCACTCAGTCTGTGTGCTAAATAACCATTATTCATATATCTGTATTGTAGCTCTCCCAAAAACTGTGGTATAGTTTGCACACTGTTTACAACTTATGATCTTATGCAGAGAAATGTATTTATTATTCTTGCCAAATGTACTGGAAGTTACTTGACTAGACAGTATTCGTGTACACTGAAACTTTGCTTATCTTTGTTTGTACAGTATGTACCAGGGTGTGTGAAAAGGCACACACTACTGCACTCTTCAATTTGGTTGGTAGTAGGTCACATTAACAACTCACTTATATAGTTTAGCAACTTTCAGTGTAATTTAATTATGATCAGTTATAATTTTACACAATTTTGTTTGCTAAACACAGGATTTCAAGAAAATTATTCTTAAAAACTAGCAAAATACATAAAATATTTTTTTATTTAACAGGTTTGTCTGATGTTAATGCACAGTGGTTGTTATACATTAGTGCACATTAGTTTGATTATTTTATATTATTATATCTTATTAATATCAACATGACATTGATTTCAACAATTCACCCTTTTTTCTGAAGCTCATATTACACATTTTACTTTGCTTTCCTTTAACTAATATCAACAGGGAGCAGTTTGAATGACCATTTTAGGTCTTAAAAACTAGTATCAATACAATAAAAAACTAAAATAGACCTCTTGGTGACTTTTTAACTGGAATGATAATATTAACATTGCCTGCCCTCTACTGGCCTCAAATATATAGAGCAAATAAAGGGCAAATCTTGCCATTAAGCAATGCTCATGTTGTGTGGTAGAAATAGCTGTAATTGGCCCTCATGCTGTGGCCACTGATTACACAGTGTCCCCACAGATTGAGTATTTATATTGTGTTTACTATAATGACTTTACTTTGCTTTGTTTAAGGTCCAGTGTGTAACATTTAGGAGGCTTTAATTGGCAGAAATGGAATATAATATTTATAGATATGTTTTCAGTAGTATATAATGACCTGAATATTATAATCACTGTGCTTTCATTAGCTTAGAATGAGACATTTTTATCTAGAGGCGGCGCAGCTCACCTTGTTGAACTGCCATGTAGTAGCTCAGAACAGACAAACCAAACACTGGCTGTAGATAGGGTCTTTCGCTGCTGCTGTAGTTTCTCCTACACATTTCACAGCACATTTTCATTCCCACGTCGTGTTTAGTTAGTTGCAATGTGCAACTTCACTGCTAGATGCCACTAAATCCTACACACTGGTTCTTCATAACACCACACCAGTACCAGTTCAAAGTACCTCCATTATCATGCAAGCAGCATACAGCTTTTTGTTGTCAGAGTAAAGCTGGATAACATTGTCACTGATTTATTATTGATTGGTTGTTGATTGATTTAAAGAGATGAACCATTCTGTTGATCATATGATTTTCATGCAATACCACCAATAGGAAATGTTCTAAAAAGTAGTTTGTTGTTTGTGCCATCTAACACTTTCATATCATGAAGGGTAACTGTAGCCTCCAGCGGGGTTTTAAACTTAGGTTGTAGTTGTGTCTCAGTGCCGCTAAAATGTATAGTAATCTGCATATTATACTGTACTAAAGTAGCTATTAGTATACAAAAAACAAAAAGGTACTTTTTCATTTTGTGCCAACAGGAAATGGAAGTGACCTGGAACAAAAGACGGTATTGTTGGACAATGTTTGATGTTTGCAAATTCTTTATGAACCATTAAAGAAACATAGGAAAGTTTTTTTCTTGTAGATTTCCTTTTTATGATTAAAGAATAGTTTTTGTCGTGGGATTTAACACATTATGCAATCTGCTGTGTTTAATAGTTGCTGTGAGTGCAGCTGTCCTTTGCCGGGATCATTATGCAAGCAGCTTCTTTTCCAGATAACGAGACAAAGGACATTGTTCTGGCACTGTTTTGCTTATGGCTTCATTGTCTGAGCTCCCTCTCTTTTCATGTCATCAGGGATTGTTGGTCTCTGGGTCAGTTAAGGATAATGCACACAAAAAAGGCAGATTGTTTTCTAACATGTTTGGTCTGGGAAAAGATGTGAATACTAAAATGTTTTGAATAGGTTGTTAGTTTTCCAATTAAGGTTTAATTCTTTAACATTTAAATTAAACTTTAGTCTTTGGCTTTTTTCAGTCAAGAGAGAAAAAATGTCAAACTTGCCTGAAACTTAATACTAAAGAGCTTGATAACTATGGGCTATCGGGGCATGGCCTAGCATGTACTACACATTACTTTTTTAAACTACATTAGTGCAGAGACTGAAGCCCATGTTGACCCACAAAAGCAGGCCTTTCTCATCCATTACAGTTCAAGTTCACAAAGAGATTTATAAAGGAGACATTCCACCTCCCCGTCTAGCTGCCTGCTTTGCATAACTGGCCCCACAAAGGCCCCCTTTGCTTTTACTGAAGTTGAAAGGCAGCTTTTTTTTAAATGTTAAAACCTACAACTATACTTTTCTACCAAACTATCAGATGTTTTCTCTGCAGTCTTTGAAGAACTTTAACTGATTTAATTTTGATGATCACAGTATCATAAATAGATGATCTGCTGTGCACAAAAGCAATAACTATACTACATCAACAACACAACAACCTGTTTCACACCACTGTTGATAGCAACTGTTTCCCAGGTGTGGTCTGTTTTCATATTTCCTCATACTTTGAAATCATAAATCAGGAGGTGACTTCTCAAGATTTATTACACATTAGGTAATGCAAATATGTGTGAGTATCACTGATTGTGTAGTTATTAGGGAAAATAAACACATTGTTGATACACAAAGTTGTATTAAAAAACACGATTAAAGTATAAATAGCATTCATAAATAGTACATCCAACAGTGATACACCTAGAGCTAAAGCCTGCGATAAGTAAGACTACATATATAATTCAGTTATAGACTTTGAGTGATCTAAAAGAGAATTGATAATGTGATAAGAGGTTTTTATATTCACAGAATATCCAAACTATGTCAGTATTATCTCCTACTTATTTCAGTCATCCAAGTCATTCTCACCAATCATGTGCAAACTTAGTTTTTTGTTTCTTCCCCATGTGAGGCTGGAACAGTTTACTAATTGTGTTGAAGCCTCTCTGGTGCTCTCTGTATTCCCCATCTTCTGTTTTCTCCCTGTTCTGCTCCTGTCCTCCCAAAAGTGCTCTGACCTCAGCTGGCACACCTTTGCCCAGGTAGTGAAAGGCCTTCTTGCCATCGTTGTCCCTTTCATTCACACTGGCTCCATAACTCTGCACCAGCAACACAATCACTTCAGTGTGGCCGTGTATGGCTGCGATGTGTAAAGGTGTGTACCCCCCGTGCGCTTTGGTGTTGACGTTAACACAGGTGCCTCTTCTCCTGGAGATATCCACGAGCTTGTGTATCATCTCGCTGTTGCCGTCCTTGGCAGCCCAGTGCAGGGCTGTGAACCCTGACATGAAGTCTTTCTTCTGTGCTAAACGTGTGTCCTGCAGCAGCAGACCATAGATTTGTCCCCACAGTCCAGCAGCACACTTTACCAACCACTCATGGGCTAATGGCTCCAGAGGCACTGACTCTGAGTACTTTGCATCCTCTCCTGGTCTTGTGGTCTTGTTCTGGGGCCTCACCTGGGGGAAGCTCGGGGGCTGCATGTCCTCTGCATGTCTGTTTTTCCAACACTGGGAGTCGCTTGGTGCACCCTTCTTGCAGGCTGCAAAGTTCAGAGTTGGCACTGATGGTGTCGAAACTTTGCTTACCAACTTGACTGCTTGACTTTTATTCTGATGCACTTGGGAATGTAACCCATCCTGCGGTACTGGTGCAGAGTCTCTCGGTGGGGACTTCACCGCTATGACAGCGAACACAGCCCCAGATTTCCTCGCTCTGCTCGGCTGATCTCCGGAGATATTCAGGACTTTGACAGTGGCTGTGTCCGCACTGCTGGTCCTCGATAACGGCCCCCTGTCCCGCACACTCCCCGCAGACGCACGGTTGGCATCACCACAACAATGCATGTCATTTATGTTTGAGGGATAGCACATGTTATTGTTCTCAATGTCAGAGTATATCATCCGGGCTGACTCGGCTCGGTGAGGAGGAGATGTGTACGAAAAGCTCGTGTTTTGACTTGAAAAACTCTCCTCCATCTGTGTTTTCTGCGATGCATCGTGCACAGCCTCTTTATTAATAAAGTCCTGGTACCTTTTCTTCACCACCACAAACTTTACCTCGTCGATCTGTTTGACCACGGCGACGCTGTTGACGTACTTCTTGAAAAGGTCTCTATTGTGCTGTTTTTCCGCGGGATCACCGCAGCTGATTTGACTCCTGAAATTGTTCAGCAGCTCCGAGTTCTTCACTTTGCCTCCGTGCTCCAGGAGAAAAGATAAAATAGACTCTTGGGTCAAAGCCATTTTTGTCCTGCCCGGGTCAAAATGTGGAAAAGATAAGCTCAAATAAAGCCAAAAAGGGGGATAATCTGCTGGTTGTCCGTGCTCCTCTCTCTGTTGTCCTCCACCAACCTGCTGCTTCCGGCGCTTCTCCAGATAAAATCATCAGTTTTTTATTATGGCTCTCCCCGTTAGAGGCTGTTTGTGGGCAGTGCACACTGGACACTTTGTCTCATGATTAGTGGATCAATATCAAAACTGCTAAACAAAAACAATATTTGTATATTCATGTGTAGAGATTCAAAAATGTCCATATAAAAAAAGTGTTATAAAGTAATAGAGTAGAACTATAGTTTTATGTATATTATATATTGAGTTTACTTTAATATAGCAATTAAATGTTCTTTAATGTATGTTTTGATATTGAATCAATATTGTGTCACATTATAATTGATATTCTCCTACCATAAATCTCTACAAACAATAAGCCTAAATGCTTTATTCCTCAGGACCTAGGACATTAAATAAATAAAAAATATTTTTAAGGCTAAGACAAAGCTTTATATGATTTATTGACTTTAATGATCATTATTCAAACTTAGGAACACAGCAACAATATGTTGTCAGTATATTTAACACTGCTTTTGTAGCCAGTTTACACTGCAGTGGGGCTTTGAGATTTAAAATAAAATATAAAAAGTTCCTACATTCAGTGCTGCATTCATACTACTTATAGAAGAGAGATATACTTGAAGTATCAAAAAAAATGTTTTTATTATTCTCAGGCAGAAGAATGACACTTGTGATTATATCATTAGATCATTAGTGAATGAAGCTAATTTATAAACTTGATATAACTTTTGGTAGCTTCTCATTTTATATGTTGTTTATTTTTGTATGTAAAATCTTGATATTCATAAGGAAGTACTAATAGTCATATAAATGCTGTAAAAACAACATTTTATTCCTTAAATGTATTAGAGAAGACATATAAAGTAGCATTTAATGGCAGTAATGTTGAACAAGTGTTTACTGCGCAGCTGAGTTCCTCTGTCATCGCAATTGCGTTGCTAGGAGACAGCTGGTGTCCAAGTGCTGAATGAACTTGGACCCACTTGAAATGTGAATTATTACTAATATTACTAGTATTTTTTTATTATTTTTTATGTTGTTGTTGTTGCCGGGATCCAGACGTGTGAAAACCCTGACAGTTTCAAAATTAATAATAATAATAATAAAAAAAAAGAAATATCTGAACTGAAAAAGAAGAAAGACTTGAGGCACGTCTGTCGAGGCAGCTGTAATTCCTCCGTGTAAAACAAACACAATAACAACAAATGGAGCTTACACTAAACTCCCTCAGAGTTAGAATAAGGTTGTAAGGATGTTCGGGGGTGTTGTAATGTCGCCCTCCAGCACCGAGGGGGTGTTGCCTCCAAGTGGCCATATTGAGAGCAGTGTGAGTCGGTCCTGGATAAAGCAGGTCTGACGGATAATTCCTGCACACAGCAGCCACTTCTGACGATGGCGGCCAGTGAGATAGATGTTTTCGCAGTAAGTACGATGATCTACTGTCTGCGGGCCTGCAGTGACTAATGATGTGTGTGTCTTCAGAGCAGAAATAGGGATTTAAA